AAGGTCCAGAGCGAATCTCATGTCACTTTGAGATTGAGAACAGTGTGACCATTTGTGACAGATTTAATTTTTACTAATTTTCATTGCGACAGAACATTTTAACGTTGTATTAAAATGTGGCCAGAGTTTGGCAAATTTAGGAATATTCAGCAAGTTCTTAATTATTTTTAGGAACAAACTGAAAATTTGTTTTTACGAACAAACATCTGAAGCGAAATACAGGACAATGTTATAAACAAACCCCATAACAAGTTTATAACCCCCAGCTTTTACAGGCTGTACTCAATTAGCTTTTTTGATGCTTTGATAATGAATCACAAGTATTGATGGGTCAAAAACACTGGGTCACAAGAAATACGGGATGTCGCCATCCTTCTTTTCATAAATGTCCATAACTTAGAAGTTATAGTCAAAAGTACATGTTGCCACAGGGAGTCCCAACCACCACCGCGATTTACAAATGAAAGTGAAAATGTTAATAGGTAATATAAATTGAAAACTTTGCACACCGACGAGCAGTTACTTGTTTTACAAACATTTAACTTATGCATAATTTAATCAATTTATTTCTTTATTGAATGTTTAGGGTATTGATTTTGTCTTCTTCATGGCTAATTAATAACACAGTAATATTCCACGTGGAAACCGTATAATTTTGACTCCAACTAATTACATTCTTTATTACACGAGTTACGCGGACGGCGGTGAGTGAACGACTGGCAGCGCGCGGGGCGCGTATCATTGCTAAACCTGAAAATGATTACAATGCTAAATGTGTCCCTACAAATTCATTCATTTACGCTTAGATAATAGTTATTACACTTGAAGTTTGTAGTCTGTATTACACAAAGTAAGGTAAAGGTGAGGAAAAGGTGTTTGGAGCAAATGTTTGTTAATTTAATAGTTTTAATTGACAAAGTGACGTAGGATGCTCTCTTCTTCTTTTTTTATAAAATCAAGTGACGGGACGAACAAGTCGTGCGCCTGATAGTAAGCCACATGCCTGTCCTTAACAGTTACAGTGCAACTCAGAACTTTAAATCGCAAGTGTGTGCTTGTGCGTTATTTCACCAGCATGCTTACCCTTCAAAACCAGAACGCAGTAAAGCTCACTTTACTTCTTGGCGGCAGAAATAAATAAGCTTCCCTCGGCGAACTCTTTCACACGGAGCTCTATTGCTACTAATCTGGCCAGTTGATGATGAGATGGATCCGATTAGCTGAGGACAGGACTAAATGGCGTACATACGCCAGCACATCAAGCTACACATTGACGTATCTTGTTCCGTTGCACTGGAGGCGATTTTCGAACAAAAATGTGTAGTCTGGTGTGCCGTTGTCCGTACATTGGGAGAGGCCTATGACCAGTGGCTTGCACTGGCTTATGATGATGAAGTCTACGTAACTCATAAAAATATGAATTCTCTTACATCAATTTTATCAATGTAACTATGATAATTAAGATTTTTGTCTAACCAAAAAAGAACTCGCATCTAGGTATCATGGTACTTAACTGTAAATCAAACAAGATTGTTACAAGTACACATTTATCGGGTGATTAGTGACTTATGAGCGAATCGTGCGCAGTGAGAGAGAAAAAGAGGCGGATTATTCCGCAAATGAAAAATTCAGAATCTGATATATACATAATAATGCACTAGATGGCCACATCAATTATCTACTAGTAATTTTGTGTACTACATAGGGCGCACTAGTTTCCGGAACTGGCCACTTACATAAACAATATTGAAAAGGTAATTACCACATTTGAAAATAGCACCCTTTAGCTGTAGAATACAGTTTGTTTCATCTGGCTGCTACTTGTTTTTACATTGTGGCGTCATTTTAGAAATTGATTGTCTACATCACCATTTAACTCGTGAAAATTTTCGTAGTATGATTTTCTACGACTTTAAGCGTAATTTAACAGATCAGCGGAGCTTCGCTCGGCTTCAAACTGCTTTTGGCGATAAATCACCATGAAAGACTATTTATAGCTGGTTTGTAGGAATTCAAACGTGGTCGTATAAATCTCAGTGACGAATTTCGTGATGGTCGCCCGTCCACTGCTGTGAACAACAAAAAATCGATGCTGTGCGCCGTATGATGAAAACAGACAGGCATGTGACATACCATGAGATTCGAGCATCTTTAGGCATAGGCATGAGTCAAATACAATCAATACTACACAAACATTTGGGTGTGAAAAAACTGTGCTCTTGGTGGATCCCACACAATTTGACTGAGGCTAAAAAAACGGATCGCGTCACTTGGTGCAATGCCATGCTTACCAGATTCAACGAAGGGGCGTTAAATTTGGTATGGGACATAGTAACAGGTGCCGAAACATGGATTTATAGTTACGATCCCAAAACAAATCAGCAATCTAGCGTATGGGTCTTTCGAGATGAGCCGAAACCAACCAAAGTGGCGCGCGTGCAAAGTGCCTGTTAGCGAATGATTGCTTCTTTTTTTAATAAAACTGGACACGTGGCTACTGTGCATTAGAGAATCGTTGTACCATGAATAGTGATTGGTACACGACCATTTGCATGCCGGAGTTATTGACAAACTCTGTAAAAAAAACCGTAAACGCCGTATCATCTTGCATTACGATAATGCCAGTTCTTACACGGCCAGGCAGACAAGTGAATTTTTGAAGGTGACCAACGTTGACCTTATGAGCCGTCTCACGTACAGCCCCGACCTGGCACCTTGTGACTTTTATTTATTTCCAAAAATTAAGAACCAGTTACGCGGTCTACGATTTTCATCACCTGTAGAGGCTGTCGAAGAGTATGATAAATATGTTTCAGAGATTGTCACAGAACAGGCTTAAATGTTTTCAAAATTGGTTCATTCGTATGAAAAAGTGCATTAACTGAAAATTAATTTCTGACCATTTATACTATTTTTTTCTTATTCATTCCGGAAACTTATAGTGCGCCTCACGTATGAGCAGACTCAATTTTCAAAAGTTCACTTTCCAAATATGGTTCTATCATGTACCGAAACCGGGATTGGGCCAACGAGATCTTCAAATTTTAAATTTTTATTGGATGCTTCATTAAGTGCACCACATTATAGGAGCAACGTTTTAATAATCAGGCATATTTTGATTTGCTTGATAACAATCTTCTCTGTTTGCAAGTGAAGATGCAGTTGAGGATTGAGCATACTTGTCAGGAAGATACCGTTCACTCTTACTTCAAAAAAGTCCACGAATGAATGAAATAAAGGATAAATATCCTTTTAATTAAACGTTAGGCCACTTTGTGTTTTTGTATTAAACACCACATTTGTGTAAACGATAATCGGAGGATAGACGTTTGAACATTGTAGGAACGAAATTGTCGATAACTTTTTAAGCTTAAATAGGAGAATTATAATCATAATTTGTTACATGTAATTCGTATATTTTTTTCACTTTCGTATGATAAAAACACTTTTGACAAATGATCACGTGTGGTTTTATTATAGTAAGGAAAAGGAAATAATATAATAAATATAGGAAAATATATATCTTCACTTAGCCTCAGATTAAGTTACATTAAATTGTCAATTGCGGACTGCAAATTTGAACCAACTGTAGAACTCAAGAACTCGCTTCCTCCATCGGTTATCGGTTTTTCGACAGATATGGCCGGCCCACTGCCACTTCAGATTGCTTCTCCTTGAGTGAAGACCACGGCTCGGCAAACGTAGTGTAGGACACCCTCCGGCTAGATGTAGCCACGATCTGCGAAAGGCTGCTGACAGCAGATGGGTACTACACGCCTATGCCCAGACCTATGTCCAGCACTGGACTGCGATTATTAGCAAATTTTAGGGCAGTGTTTTTGGAACTGGTAAGAAAAATCTAGACAATAATGATGGAATAACTGTAAAGGGAAACATATTTAATACAACGGAGTAAGGTGTGTCACTATTAAGTTTATTTATTTGTTTATTTACTAGCAACACTAACATTATGTCCACAACACATATTTACTTATCTGAGTTGGGTGTTCTTCACTGTACACACAACAAATTATTGTAAGTGTTGACGGCAATTTCAAAACAACAATCACGAACTAAATTAAATTTTTTTACACATTAACATACTTAAATAATTTAAACCAGATTGCAACAGAATACACTGAGAAATACTATAGGAACTTAATTAATTTTTTTTTGGTTAATTTTCTTTTGATTCCTGGAAACCGTTCCGCGAGATGATACTTTCACCCTTTATGATGGGCAATAGAATTTCACCCTAAATGAGCGTACGTAATATCATAAGGTCCGGGCAGCAGTTCCCAAGAAGGGACTCAACTCCTGGTTAGCCTAACTGAGCTCTCGGTATTCTCAGATTTCTCTTCACATTAACAAAATTGTGATCGAGTCGAAATAATCGATATTAACACTAAATATATCCAAATCAAGACTAACATTTCTTTCGATGTGTGTTTTACACAATCATATAATAGTCGTAAGTTTGACGTGCTCAAATGCCAAGCTTGACGTTCATTGTAATCAACAAGTTAGTGTACACAGTTATTTCCTAAAATATCATGCGGAATTAAGAGAATAGCCCACACACAGGACCGACAAGGTCAGTGTAACACGGGCAGCTCCACACACACCACATCTCTCTAAGCGTATCTACAATACAGTCATCTGATAACCAGATAGCAATCAGATAACGCTAATAATAGTGTAATTATGAAACGAGTTTAGCGTACAGTGTTACAGTGTTATTTTGGAATTTTACGCAAAATTAATAAAACCTAAAATTTATCAAAATTAACGAAAATTTCGGTCGGTGTTACTGAAGTGTAAAATATGGTGTAGTAAACTGTGAAAGTGATAACTTATAAAACAAATGTAATTTTTTAATTAAAATACATACATACTTTTAATATGAATAATATAATCGTTATTATGATCAACAGCGGAAAAGAGTGTTTACTTTAAGTTCAGTTATACAAGAAAATAAACATATTATTTATCTCAGAAGAATGGAACAGGTTCTACCAAAAGATGCCGAGTTCTTTAAAATAAATCAACTTTACGACGAATGTCTAAATTACTTGCAAGCTATCAACAAATTTGATCCATCTAATGAAGACGTAATCCAACCTCTTAATGAAAAAAATGACCATATTGACGACGACTATGAACACCCAGAATATGAAGCCATACAGCCCAAGCACGCTATGGAACCTGAAGCTATTAACACTGATACTGATATATATGAAGAATTGTCTCAAAAAGAAACATCAGTATCATGTGAAAATATTACCAAACCAAATCATATCAATAGCACTAGCCATCATAAAGAGGAGACCATAGAAGTGAAGAAGAATAGACTAAGAATACCTAATATTGGTTTCAAAGTTGAAAATGAATTCATAAACGAAAGCACAAGTTCATTACCAGTAGAAACAAAATCAGAAAGACTTAGAAGACTATCTGAACAATTGCCTAAAATTATAATTACGAAAAGCAACTCTACAATAGAGGTGAACAGTCGAGAAACCATCAAATTGGGTGGAAAGTTTCAAGTACCGAAACAGCAGAAGAAGCCTGTGTTTACGTAAGTAAAACATTAAATTTTTTATCTCCAAAATACGTCTATTTACGTACTACTTAAAGACACAACAGTAACGTATAATGAAATTGATCTTATATTATCACAATGGCTTTCGTCGTACATTAAAATCTTTACATATCACATATTTGCATAAGCATATTCTGTGTACTGCATCTAATGGAAAGAGAGTCGTAGTAAACAATTAAGTAAAAAAAATATTGACTCCATGCTGGCTAGGTATATCACAATTTCTTCATAAGGATTAGTGAAGCTTCTTCATGCATATTTCCTCACGATTATTTCGTTACAGTTCAAATAAATATACGAGTACAATGGGCTACCTTATGGAAATTGGGTCCATGTGATAGAGATCCTAAAATCGCTCTCGAGTTCTTCTTTGTATGTCTATACTAACACATGGGATAAGGTAGTTGTCAACCCTTTGATCTCCCAGTCTGTGTATGTGACAATTAAAATTGTACACGTAATATATAAGTAAATATAAATTTTTTTATCTCTCATATGTGCTCTAAAAATACTTTGTCGTAGCGCTGATTTTACGTCAATTTCTTTGTTTGTTTTTGTTAAATATTTAAATACACAAAGCCCGCATTAGTTACTGAGTGGTGCAACACTGCCTTTCAGACAGGGTATTAAGTGGTTGGAGTTAGGACTGAATTCTTCACCTTTCAATTTCTAGCTTGAAGCTCTTTAGGACCCGCTTACTTAGCAATTTCTTGAATCTGTCTTCTTGTCCCCATGGTTACTTCTCCTACGTCTGAAGTGTTTGCATTTCACTGTTACAAGTAACCTAAAAATCTCCTCTTATTTCTTTGTCTCAGCAATTTCGATGGTGAACAAAATAATCTGATTGATTAGGATGCGGGAGAATGACAAACATAAGTCTTGCTTTGCGAATTATGCAAGCACTTAATGTCCTTAAAAACACCAACTTAAAAACAAGCAGACCAGGAACGTGGATAATATTCACAATATTAGTCTGCACTATACTCTCACGATATAATATCAATACATTATCATAAAAAATCTTTGCAGTCATTCGAGGACACCGTCTTCGCACCGCATGAAGACTGGATACGGTGATTTTCCAAAGCGGCTGGTCTCAAAGAACGGCATTGAGAACGTAGCACTCATCTCCAACGTGCCTTTTGAGAGACTTAGGCTGCTTAATGATACCTTTCACACTTTGGTAAGGGTCATAACAGTTATATCTCTTGCAATTTATGAATCCAATACACAGCACATTTGGATTAAAGACGGTCATCTCCAAAACTTCAAAAGACTCGTTCTTGTGAATTATACTTATCATGTAACGGAAGGGCCTTCATTTCATCAATCAAACCATTATACATCACAGTAAAAGGGCAGCTAGAGAGAGGGCGCAATGCGGATTGGGGACTTAACACGATTTACAACCAATGAGAACCTTCTTCGACAAGCAGGTTTTATGGTTGCATGTTCCTTCATCGTTACCGAGAGACATTACTACTAAACATTCACGGGGATTGGAGCCGTTGACCTCTCAATTAACTGCGTCATCATAGCTCTCATTCATTTTCATCAGAAACAATAAAATTAGGTAGTTACACAGGGTACGCCACTTATACCGATTTTAAGCTAGATGTCACTCTTTACTTGTTACCCCATAAGCACTGTAAGGAGTTTGTACATTCTTACACGTCATAAGTTCCAGTGGACTTATAGACCTCTACAAAAATACAATTTGCCATTAACTGCGATAATTTCAAACAAACGTATAGGTGTCTTACAAGGTGTGAGGTCAGGGAGTCCAACCAACTATAACAAACCTTATGTAGGCCAAACAAATTATATAAGTTTTACTATATTTTCTTACAATAAATAAAATGCGGCATTGTGTACGTCAGTGGCTTGTGACTAGGTGATAAAACATTTGAATTTGTTACCTCCTGTCAGTCATTACCTTATAATGGTTTTAGAACCTGAATTATTTTTAACAGAGAAATAACAAAGTTCCTTTTATTATTACCGTATTTGCATGAACAGAAAGTATAATTATTTAGTTTAGATATTCTGTAGTTATTGTAATAATTGGAAATGAATTTTTCGGATCTCAATCGCGTATATTTGGTTTTTCAAAACAATCGTTTTGGACTTTCTAAGTCGGAAGACTCTCGGAGGACTCTCTAAGAAGGATCGATTTATAGATCCCAAAGAACAGTTTCATTTGAAAAAGAAAATCTAAGTACTTGATATGATAGTCTTATGTTCATATCTCGCGGTTTTTTCCACAGAGAATCTTTGGAAACAGGTTAAAAAATTAAAATGTTAAATATGCGATGGAATTAAGAACCTTTTTCACTCCTTATTATTTATTTACTTATTGAAAATGCAAGTCATAACAATATGAGATCCATTAGGCAACTTATTACTATAACACCCCGCAGGGGTATATAATTTAATTTCAAATTTTCATATTTACTTTACTCATTACAAATGAGGAGCTTCGGAACTAAACGATAGGATCTAAACGATAATAAGACCTTCGTCCATTACTTTACTGAAGATAAGAACTCAATATAGGCATCAATTTCCCAGATAAACCTCCGCTGGCGTTGGATCGTGGTGGGCACCGTTGTGGTTCACTTTGCGATCTGGTTGGTTTTCGCAGTGTTCTGGTACATTTCTGCGCTTGCGCACTACGACTTTGCGCCAGATCCGCCGCGCCGCTCCTGCGTCACCGGCGGGAAGGACTTTGTCACTATCTTTCTTGCTTCTGTTGAGGCTCAGGTAAGAATATTTAATCTCATTAATAACCCGTTATCTTCAAGGCCTGAATAAAATTCTCAAGTGAATTAACATTGTAGTTTATATATTATCGATACAACAAGAACACTCTTAGCGTTACAAGATTCATTTTGTAATAATACTGATATGTCCGACAATCACACCAAACTAAAAAAAAACTAAAATGATCTTTATTTCATAGGTTAGCAAATTACACTTTAAATCGTCATATTGATTAAACTGTACTGTTCATTGGTAAGGCGGATCCCCTAAAGAAAAAAATGTAGGGGTTGTTTTTGTATATAAATATTTGTGTATAACAATACAATATGCTTTATTTCCCTCAGAAAGGTATTAAATATCACATATAAAATAAAAAGTTTCTTAGTGAGAGCTGGAGTCCGTACTAAGGACCTGTGGTACATATCACCAAACTCACTCCCTCTAGGTGTATTAAGGACGTATCATTTAAAAATACAATCATATTACAAAATAAAGCGAAGCATTACAATAAACAAAGTGTGTCTTCCTGTGTAAGTGCGTCTGCCAGTGAGAGTGCATATGTGATTGTGTGCGCGTGTGCGTGTGTGATTAAAACCTAATCCTGTCGACTTATAGTCCAGAGTGAACAGCCAGCTAGTAATAGCTTTCTTACATTCCGCTCTGCACAAAGGCCGAATATTAAGTACAGTGCTAATCTTATTTTATAAGTAGTATATTGATCATTTACAATATTTATTTCAAACATTATTGATTGAGACAACCAGCAGAAGCCTAATGGGTCATTGTCACGAAAGTTTGTCATCCAAGTACGCAGAAGCAGTATAGTATATGTATAAATCTTAAATATAAAGTTTTTGTTTCATTATAGTTGTAAACCTCGTGAATCTTATTGTAGAAGCATACCCCTTAAATTAATGAAACTAGGGAATAACCTACACCAGAGCAATGGAACTAATGCTGGATAACAAACGCAGAACGCTCATTATCATCTGAACCAATTTCGTATAGTTGGGTTTTTAAATCGATTCTACTGGGTATCGAAGCTGAAACCTCCTCATCTAGCGCCGACATTGCTAACACTGCATCAATGAGGTCGTCGAATAATAATGCAGATAACCAAGATACAAACTTTGTTGTTTTCATTATTTCTGTATCATTAAATACAAACTTTATTTCAAAATAATCTATAAAGTTGAGTACGCTCACAACTTCGATATCTCGGTAGCCGGTAAACCGAAGTATCCAACTCGGTAATTAAGGATAAATAGGCATGATCACCCAAGCTTAAAAACCATCAAGTTTAAGTGGCAATGGATTGATCAATGGGTTACATAAATCACAAAGCTAAATCTTCCCGTTTGCGTTTGCTAAAGGACTTTCCCAGGAATCACCACTGAGCCAGATCCAGGGATACGATGAGCTATACTAAAGATGTTGTGTCGTGTACCAAAGAGCAACCCATTCTTTTAACGCCGCCAAGGTATCCCTTCAAAAAATGTGTTCAACACAAAAATAGATCAATTCCTCGTAGATTTATATAGATTAACCCTACATACATTCGTCTAGCCCATACCCATGTCCACAAATATTTATAACAAAATTGTCTGATCTATTAAAAACCAAACAAATGGTAAATTTTTTTTAAAAACTAAAAGATATAAATTTTGTTGTATATCATTATGTTTACTACCATGATATTAATTTCTTTTTTGTGAAATTTCTCCACTACTGTGTTCTAATTAATACAAGGCTGGGACACATTATAAGTTCCTCACAGGTGTAGCTTCCAGCTACTAACGCAGGAAAACCCTAGTGACCCTAGTTTGGCATACAGAACCAGGTTCGAATCCCGTCAGATCGAAACGATTTTTCTTTAGTTCGATCGAGGTATTCGCCGATTGTCGGCCAGAATGACAGATGTACAGGAAATAAATGTTATTATAATGAATTTCTGATCGAAAGCTTCTAATCCAAAGGAACAGTTGAAAACAGTTTTCTTCCATTCTATTTTATTGTGCCAGAAAGTGTCCACGATGCAATTCTTTTACATTGTAACACATTGTACAAGATTGTGGAATGGAAATAACGTATATTGAACATCGACTCCACGCTTGTCTAAACACATTCTTAGCTCCAATATTCATAATTTTCAAAGTCAAAGTCAAATAATCTTTATTTCATAAGCAATTTCAATTCAATTTCAAGTGTAATTTGTTTAATTACACTTGAAATTGTCGTACTGATTAAACTCTACTGGCATTCCCCTGAGAAGAATGAGCAAGAAACTGTAAGGGCTGTTTTTGTTAATATACATTTCAATACATTTATCATTACAATATTTAATTCAAACATCTTAGACGGAGACCGCCTGCAAGAGCTAAACGGGTCACTACCATGGATTTTGTCTAAAGCTCTCTAAAGTATAAAGTTTTTGTTTCACTATAGTTTTAAACCTCGTAAATGGAAAATTTTGAATATCAATCGGAATCTTATTCAAGAAGAGTATTTGCCTCTTAAATAAATATGAAACTTTATGAAGACGACAGTCAAGAACAGCTAGTTTATTTTTATTCCTCGTATTAATGTTATATCTGTCACTATTTTTCATAAAAAAACTAATATTTTTATTAACATAAATATCTACCACAGGTATGACAAACTTAGTCGGCACGTCGTTTTTGTATCTTGAGGACACTAAAAAGCTGTGTCTATGCCACTAGCAACACATAATTACAGCGACATATCATTCTTCATATTGTACAACAAAGGCGTTTAATGTTCTTATGACTTCACTGTCCCACACAATTGCTCACAAGCTATAGTCAGTAAATAAACGCCGACCGTCTCGGGAAATAGAATGATCACGACAAACCATTGGATTGTGAAATTCATTTCGAGGTCCAAGTTACGAGATATAGAGAAAGTTGTTATACCTTACTATGAACACGATTATGAAATGTATAAGGTGTAATTTTGTAGCAGTCCTAGTAGCAGTACAGCATCATCATATCAGCCGGAAGACATTCACGGCCTCTCCCAAAGATTTCCAAACTAGCCGGTCGGACGCGACGTGCATCCATCGTTTACCCACCGCCCTTATCAGGTCATCCGTCTGTGGTTTCCATTTATTAGTTCCACGTGCTATGTGCACTGCCCACTGCCACTTTAGCTTGCTAACCCTTTGAGCTCTGTCGGTCACTTTCGTTCTTCTATGGAGTTCCTCATTTCTGAAATGCCGAGCATGGTCGCTCCATAGCACGTTGAGTGACGCACATAGAGTGACTTTGACATTTTTATGAGGGCCATAGTAAGCGACCATGTTTCAGAGTCGATGACCTACGACTGGCAACACAACAGCAGCGGTCCAGCTCCTTGAAAAAAAGTTAGTCCAGAGTAGTACTGCCACCTTACCTATTTCTGCCGCCAAACTGGTTTTGAATTTGGAGAAATTACAGGCACATGGGCTTGCCTCAGGGTTTTATTTTGGAATTTATTTGCCTAGATGGTGAATGCCGGTGTACGGTCAAACCAAAAATGGTTTATGTTAAACCGTTAGCAGCCTAGATTTAAGTTTTTCTTTTTGTATGTATGAAGCAAAGATGAAATGTGGATTGAGTTCGAAGCCCAACTTTTGAGATCACAATCCGAAATTGAATTTAGGATATCAGATCGAACACAGGGACAGTACTGGCCATCTTCAGGATTAACTCTTTAGAGTTGACCACCTCAGAAGTACAACGGTTTGCACTATTGGCTCGGGGCGAGAAAGTTCTACAGAGTCCTTCCCGATAGGACCAATTTGGAGAATGAGCTTTTCTAAATTGGTTTCGGACTGAGTGTTTCAGGACTACCTAAACAACCTAAACACTAGTTTCGGAGTGAATTTCGTTTCTCTGGTATTTATAGTACAAGGAATTTCCTACTTTGAGACCCAGGCGGGTATATATAAAAATAGTTAATTGTATTGGGGTTCAAGTATGAAATTGCCGTTTTATTGCAATAGGTTCTTTGAATTTTCATAGAATCTTCATGGTTTGAGGTTTTCGAATGAAACTTTTTTCAAATGGTTTCTGTGATTTTTTTAATTTGAAACATTTGAATATCGACTTTCAATTGTTTTTGTTATTCAATTTAGACAAGAAAGATGGATACTGCGAAAATTCGAGTGATTTTTGAATACGAGTTCCGACGCGGAACTAACGCGGCAGAAACAGCCCGCAATATCAATGCTGCGTTTGGAGAGGGGTCTACTAATGAACGCACCGTGCGATTTTGGTTTAAACGCTTTCGTGATGGAAATTTCGACTTAAAGAACGAGCCATGAGGAAGACCGCCCACACAGGTGAATAACGATGAATTAAGAGAGATAGTGGAAGCCGATCCTAGTCAAACTACCCAGGAATTAGCGGCATGGTTTAACGTTACCTTACCCACAATATTGACTCACTTGCGTCAAATCAATAAAATAAAAAAATACGAAAAATGGGTGCCTCATGATTTGACTGATCTGCAGAAAGAAACGCGTGTTGAAACTTGTGTTGCCTTGTTGAACCGGTACAGAAATGAAGGAATATTGGATCGAATTGTAACATGTGATGAAAAGTGGATTCTTTATGATAACCGGAAAAGAAAAATGCAATGGCTGACCCCAGGTCAAATGCCACAACAGTGTCCTAAAGCAAAACTTACCAATAAAAAGGTAATGGTAACTGTTTGGTGGTCTCAGCATGGTGTTATTCACTATAGTTTTCTCCGATCTGGTCAAGCAATAACGGCAGATGTCTATTGTGCCGAACTCCGAACCATGTTGACAAAACTAGCAGTAAAACAGCCCCGACTCATGAATCGATCTTCACCATTATTGCTCCACGACAACGCGAGACCTCACACAGCACGAGAAACCATTTTGACCCTTCAGGAACTGCAGTTAGAAACCATTCGTCATCCTCCGTATTCACCAGACCTTGCTCCAACGGACTACCATTTTTTTCGTGATTTGGACAATTATCTACGTGACAAGAAGTTTTCTTCCCAGGAGGCAGTACAAAATGCTTTCACACAGTTTGTGCAGTCTAGATCGTCGGAGTTCTATCGCAAAGGCATTAATAACCTTCCCATTAGATGGCAGCAATGTATAGATAATAATGGCAACTATTTTGATTAAATAAATTTGTTAAAAATTTAAAAAATAAACAATTTAGATTTTCAGTACAAATCGGCAATTTCATACTTTAACCCCTATTATTATTCATCTCTATTATTCATCTCAAATCTAAATCTAAGTCCACCTTCAAAAAGTATTTGAGGGAAGTTATTTTTGAGAGGCAAAAGCTGGATAATTTCTAGCGCTTTGTATAGTGAGGGCTTCCAAAAAACACCAATTTGTAAAATTTATAATAATTAATTTTTGGTCCTATTTCTTTGTTATATCTTTTTTTTGTCCGTTTTCTTTGTTATGTCTTTTTTTTTTCTCTAGTTGGTTTCTGAAATTTCATGCTTGTCACACCTGTACGCTTCCACGGACGCTCCCATCGACACGTTAACACTGACACACAACTACACTAAGACTCACTGCACGTCCTACACATTACTTACACATTGCTTTTTGCTGTGATGCACCGCTTCGCGTTACCCACTAGGCGATAGCTGAAAATCAGTGCGTTGCTTTTGGGCAACACCTGCACTGAGCTATGGCCTGTTTGGCTTGCTGCAGCACTCACAACTTGCTTTTTAATTAATAAGTATTCTATCTATCTATCTATCTATCTGTCTATCTTATTGAAATTGTTAATACAAAAATCGAACACAGAATAAATATTTCCGACCCGATGGGACTCGAACCCATGACCACGCTGTACCGTAGCGTTGCTTCATACTAACTGAGTAGAATCAAGTTATCGAGTTACGAAAAATCTCCTATGTGCATTTGTTATAGATCTTTGTACTGGTTATCCTATACAAGGATTGAACACATATCATTTTATTGAGGTACCGGAACGAACGGAGGAATAAAAACTCAATAACTTGACCTGTAGCTCAGTTGGTATAGAGCAACGGCACGGCGCGTGGTCACGGGTTCAAGTCCCATCTGGTCGAAGAAATTTTGTATGTGTTCGATCTTTGTAGTTAATAATCATAAAAAAATATTCTTTCATGTATGAAAGTAACTTGTTCATAGAACGAGTTTGGAAAGTACGTACGTTTGTAAAGTATTTTGCTTGAAGTATAATGATTGGTGGCAACCCTTTCCATAATCAGCAATCACGCAATAGCAGAATAAATTATAGTAAATTAGTTAAAAATGAAAATAAAATAGTTAAAATATTACTTGGCCTTGTGTCGCTATTATTTTAAGCCACACACGGACGTGGGTCGAAAACGCTTATGTCCTAGACGCAAAACTGATTGATGCGATGTTCAACAACAGGCTAAATAGCCTTTTTATCTTAACACATCGTAATCTTAACTCTGGCCTCTTTGAACGATATTTAAGGGTATGGATCATTATAATTCAGTTTCACCCCCAGTCTACGAGAAAGTTCGAAGTACGCCATCTTTATATCATTGCTTTGCTTCAAAGGATATAATACAATACATCTGTGTTTCCCGAAACTTACAATTTGAGACTATTCAAGGCTAGACAGAATGGGTATTTACTGGACAAAGACGTCAAGTGAGATTGTCGCAAAGTATCCATTTATTTTACCAACGACTTCAATCTATAGACAAGAACATTCACAGCAAGTACTTGTAATGATAGCTTAGAATACTTTTTCTACGAGTAAATAAAATTGTGTAACAGAAAATATTGAATGTATATTTATTTACACACATACCTATCATAAACTCTCTATAATGTGTTCAAAAACTGCAAATTACGATCAGCGTAAAGGTAAACTATTTTGTTAGAACAAATTTCTTATCTGTGAAAATGTTATTATTGCTTCCTATAATAACATCCAATTCGATGTTATTATTACATTCAAATTTTGAACATCTCTGAAAAACAAAACAATTTGATTGGACTTCAATTGTAATATCAGCCGAGGTGAAGTTTTATTCGAAATGAAATGTCAATAGCAAACAATTTTGACAATTTCACACGTTACTTGATATCGAACGATATGATAGTTGGGGCCGATTCTAGTTTGTCCATGAATTAAAAATAAAAACTACGGCTGTGTGACATGCGTGAGAAAAGTTTTTATTTGTCGCCATTTCGCCAGTCGTAACATGCGGTTCCTGAACACATCGCAGAGAGCTTATAATATGTGTGTAGATAAAGCAGTGTGTGTAACTGTACATAATTAGGCATTAAAACACTCGCGAGATGTTTTTAACCCCACACTCGTCTTTTAAAGCCTTTCATTATGTAACAGTCTCATAAACTACTATTTGTTTATTATGTTTTTTAATAAATTTTAACCCATTTATTAGGGTAGGCACAGGTTCCACCGAACAGCGTCGTCATATATTTAGACGAAAACCAATCAAATGCTACAAAACAAAAAAACCAAAGACAGAATAGAACTGGCCAAGTACCGCATATATTTTAACCAATAATTTAAAAAAATATATTGACCTGGTTGCAAAAATTTTAAGCCCATTTAACCAATGAGGAGACAGTATAGCGTTTGAGTACTAGATTACTAGAGACTAATTAATATTTTATTCAGCAAAAATTCGACGTTCTCTTTTTGACACTCATTATAGTTCTGTATACAGAAGTTAATTGACATTTTTCAGCCCAGTTTCGACTCCATAGACAATAGAATGTTGCTTCAGAACTAAAAGAGCGCCTTTATGACACGGTTTAAGAAATTATAATTGACAGATTAAGGTATGGGAGTAGAAGAATACTATTGTAGGTCTGTTAATCATTAAATATAGATTTATGTTGTCTGGTAAATAAAAGATTATTAACTCATGCGCTTAGCATGAGTTTTCATCGAGGATAGGGTTTTAAACCTACATTCTACACTACACTCCATACAGCTTAAGGATTGCTACTATCTTTTCAATTTCCTGTACATAATCTGTCGAGAAGCCAGTGAATCAGTCAGTACCTCAAAACAGGAAAGCCAATCGACCTTGATTGCCACAAATGGCTCAATCTTCGGTAAGGAGGAAGACACAATCTTACTTTTAATTTTTCACATCCTCCGATGTCACTTTTGTCTTCTGTAGCCTCTTGCGACTTTCTTTTAGAGTTGAAATTGTTGTGCTACCATAATTAGTGGAACAGTTTCTAAATCGCGGGCAACTAACGTAACGTCCTTATTCATATTGTACCAAGGTATATTAACACCATTCATACTTATCGGCGCATTTTTGTCTATGAGATCTCAAGTGACTAACATAATTTGATTAGTAAGAGCTTATTAACGACTTTAAGTTGTAGCTTACGTGAATAGGCGGAGTATTACAGAGTGATTAATACCTCTCTCAGGAGACCCGGAATTATTAAAAATAAAAAGCAAAGATTCGAAAAAAGGTAATAATACCTTGGAAATTAAACTATTGCTTTTTTCGAATCTAAACGCGTGTTTTCATTTTTTTGTTTCAAACAAACCACCAACTGACACCCTTTACATTTCACGGTTAACTGAGATTTATCTAATATTTATGCAATCATTATTTGTTATTATAATTACTTAAGTTATTAATTTAAATTCCTTTTAATGTTGATAAGTTTTCATTTATTTTTATCATCCTTTTAATTAGTCAATTTAATTTAGTGAAAATTCATATTGTCAAAAAATAATATTTTGCAAAACATAATTGTGTAGTGTAATTACTAAATTGTTAATTCTACAATGTATGGGACGTTGGAATTACTTTTACCAATACTGTAAAAATGAACAAGTTTATTGAAGGAATCACAGGTTCATTTAGAACTGTTTCAGCCGCGACAAATCCATGCACATTCTAAAAGTGACAACGCCTACCTAAATAAAGAAGTTAAGCTTTGCATATGTTTAATTGCTCTTCGTTTTTATCAGGCGCCTTTTGTGAAACATGACGTGTGCTGGCGCATTAATTCGCCTTAACCAAATAAAGTAGCTATTATCAACGGTACTATTATATGAATATGAGATAAAAATAAGTAGATTGTAATTTAAACAAATACCTCCTTTGTTCCAGACAACCATCGGATTCGGAGACAGAGCGATTGATGAGGAGTGTCCGGAAGCTATATTCTTGTTTATCATGCAGGTTTGGCTTATTTTGCACAACCCACAGTATTCTCAACTTTATTACATTGCCGACTTCAGACTGTCCCAATAAGTGTTATAGAGTTGAAATTAAATCTGAGGAAAGTTGTTCGTGCTGTTGTATGAACGCTATTTTAAAAAACCAGAATATATTAGATTCATCAAAGATGTTCGACAGATTGTACCTGTTTGTTTGAGAGTGGCCACACCTACATGAATTCCTTGTTTTGGTTTGGCCTCGAATAGCCTGAATTGCAATGTAACTGGGCACTATAAATTTCAAGTTCTGGCTAAAATACGTGTGGTGGCTGAACTTCCCTGGCCTAATTCTTTCACAAGGAGTTCTACTGCTTATAAAACAGTAACAGGATTGCTTACAATTTACCGAACTTTATTCCCTAACTTAGGCATGAAAAATGTATATGCTAGATGCCTACTTAGGCAGCAAACAAGCGTACAGCCCGCCTGATGGAAAGCGTTCACCGTCACCTATGAACGCCTGCAATACCAGGGGCACCACGAGCTCGTTGCAAATCCTTTAGGATCCTTCTCAAGCCCAGCATTATCTAGCATTGCGTCATTTGCTGCATGCCTTCTACAATGGCTTTAATTTTCCAAATATCCACCCTTCTGATGCTTAGGTACTGTAACTGGAGCGTAGCTTAGGATGCGTAGCGAGAGGTACTTTTATGAATTTAAAGTGGAATAATCTTCAAAATATACTTTATTGTATTCTTTCACATCATTTCGGCGCTGGGTTACAATTCAATAATGTCAAGATGCTCCATTCTTTTCTCTTACTTCATTTTCAAAACATTCTAATTACAAAACTATTCATTCAGCCAATGATTCTACTCATAGAGTAGAGCCTAGACTACAGTACGAATTGGTATTTAATACAAGTTTTATTTTAAACTTTTCAGTTAATCCTTGGCACAGGGTTGTCAGGTGTTCTAACATGCGTAGTATATGCAAAGCTGACCCGGCCAGAGAAGTTGTCTAGAGATGGCGTCGGGTTTAGCAAGAAAGCTGTGGTAAGAAGTCGTTAAACAGAAAAATGTTTCTATTCTATTTAATAAGAGCGAGAAAGACGTGAGTTTTGCGTCGTCTGCCGTCGCAATCACGCTCATGATTTAAACTAGAATATTTACAGGTATCAACGTTTCAGGTGAGCATGCGAGACGGCCGTTTGTGCCTCATGGTGCGTGCTTGGGACCTCAACTACGACCACATCATCGGATCTGAATTCAACGCGCACTTCATACATACTTACAAGTAAGTCTCTGTCGGATGTAATTTTATTTAATTAATTTAAAGCTAAATACGTAAGATCCACTGGTAAATTACAAGTCTCCTGGTTGAAATAGAATAGGAATGGATGGAGTACTACTTCACAAAATATGGAAGAGACTTGTAATCATAATCTGATGTACCAACATGTTTGATCGCGTTGTCCAAAACAATCAACAACAAACAAAGAAAATAGCATCTAGGAGAAAGTATTCTACCAATAATTGCTTTTTTTATATAACATTAATGTTTAGGCCACACAGTCGCGGCCGCGGAAGCGTTTCGGGCGCGGGAATTTTTGTAATGTACGAGTTTATGAACCTTGTATATGAACCTTGTCACACTGAAACGCACGACGGCTACATGTTTCGTTCCGCGAGACAACGATATTTTTATCGAGTTCTTGGGTTTTCGCGATTGTTACACATAGGAAATGAAACTGTTTTTCCGGATTTAAATCGCGTATATTTGTTTTTTCGGGCCCTTTACAGGTCCCATGGTCACGGTTGACTGAGGTGGTACAGTCTTCAACCAGTTATGTCTAATATTGATGCAAACAAGTCTGCAGTCTGCGAGCATGTCATGGATAAACCTACACATTCAATGAAGTTTGACAAACCCCAGGTCCTTGCAAAAGAAGTCCGTTATCTACCCAGGATGCTTGGAGAGGCCATTGAAATTAAAAAACATCCTAATTTCAACAGGGAAGATGGTTTCTCCGTACCACCAGTTTGGGATCCAGTATTTCCTCTAATGAAAAATCTCAAGCAGGCATAAGACTACAGTACTAATTAATATTTTTTAATTTATTCTAATTACTATTATTAATTAATAATAAATTGAATTTAATAAAAATTCATTCAATAAAATAACTTGTAATGTAACGTAAATTGGAATGTTTTCTTTGTAAAATTAAAAATAAGGTATTTAATTAATAACTATTGTAACTATAGTGAAAAAATAGGGTGGTTTGCATGAATATTTGACATAACTGGTTGAAGACTGTACCGCCTCAGTCAACCGTGACCATGGGACCTGTAAAGGGCCCGAAACGTCGGTTTGTTTGATAAAACAAATATACGCGATTTAAATCCGGAAACAATAGTTTCATTTCCTAACGATATTTTTGTTAAGGGGCTGTACAAAGTTATTTTGACTTTTAGGCATCGTTGAACAGAGTTATTTTGAACAGGGAAAATTTCTTTCTTCTTTCCTTATTTGTTACCAATTTAATTGATTTTGGCAAGATTATACTGGCATTTTGAATTTTAAATCGAAATAAGCATGTCATAGCGTTTACCATTCAACTGGGGATACCATTTTACCAGACTACCAATATTATGCCACATTTGACATCTAGAGTATTTGTTGTTTTCGTTTCACACAGTTATCAATGTATTTTAACTACAAATTTGTTGGGGAAAAAAAGAATCTTCAAAGTTACAAGAAAATTCAAATTTGCCAACTTACCAAGTCACCTTTGAAATACAGATTATTTGATTACAGTTTAAATTTAAATTCATTCACCTCCTTGTCGAGTTTCAGGACCAAAGAAGGCGAGATAATTCGCTACTACTCCCAAGCTCTGCCTTTGCAGACCCAACAGTTCTTACTGTGGCCCGTGACGTTGGTCCACGTGATCGATGACGCCAGCGCACTGTATCATTTTACGCCTGTGCAGCTTGCTAATAGCAAGTAAGTGTACTGAAGAATCACCTCCTAAACATATCTGTTTTATCCATTTCGTTATCTAAAAAAGATACGTTTTCTTGTATTGCAGAGTCCAGGCCACAAAAGTATAAATGTTTTTATTTTTAAAAAAAGGTTTTATTTGTACAGATACACCACCCTCACATACATATATACTAGGTATAGACTTCACCATGTAAGTAGCTGTAGGTCTCCTTGTGAAAGATTTCGTCCAGGGAAGTACTGCCACCTTACCTATTTCTGCCGCCAAGCAGTAATGTGAGCATTACTGCGTTCCGGTTTTGAAGGGTAAGGGTGCTGGTGAAATGACAGGCAACTTATGTCTCAGGGTGACGGACGCAGAGTCAGTGCACCTCAGATCTTTGCGATTTAAAGCTCTGAGTGGCACTGCAACATGGACAGGCGTGTCGTTTACCACCAGGCGTACGGCTTGTTCTGCCATTACTTAGTATCATAAAAAAAATGTTATACGATATCCTGGCCTCCTTGGACTGGCTAAGATGCTGTTGCACTTACCCACTGAACATAATGCTGTGTTCGGAATCTGTTGTCTTAACACCTCACCCCCAACACACACCATTGTCGGATGACCAACATCTTTCATATTATGTCTCGCAGTTTGGTCCAGGAACCTTTAACATCAGATTTCCAAACTTGTGCAAATGAACGAATGGCATAACGTTCCTAATTGTTTTAAAAATCTTGTGTCCATTTTTCTTCGGCTTCTTTTCGGCCATCTTCCGCAAACCAAATACTGTAGATCTTCGGCAGTTAATTAAACAACTAAATGCTTCTGTTTAAGCTTCGAGATAGCGATAAGCCTGAAGGGTGCTTCTGCGTCGATGGGTACATTCACGCAGAGCCAAACCTCGTACACACCGAAGGAGATCGTGTGGGGATACCGTTTTCCGCCAGTTGTCAAGTGAGTTATTATTAAAACGTATGTACTTAAAAGAAATACAATTATCTATAATCCATGTCAACGATAGAAAATTTCCTCACCTTGCCCAATTTCCCAGGATAAATTATATAAAAAAAACTTAGAAATTAGCCAAATTGTTTAGGCATCTTCATTATCCTTAGAAAAATAACAAAAGCATTATTGGTCCCATTACATTCTGTTTACCGAAATTTTGATTAAAACCGGTTTGACCATTTTGGACATTACCTACTTATTTATAAAGAACTCATTAATTTATTTGATCGAATATATATAATCATCAAAAATAGATTTTACATAATATATAAAATAATAAATAAAATCTATTTTTGAAGATTTATGCTAAAGCTATTGCAACCGCAGATATGACAGCCGCAAGCAGAAATACGTAATCGATCACAAGAAGCTAAATGCTACAGAAGCCATCGATACCCCTTACTGTAGCGCCAGCGAACTCAACAGGTAAATTATTAACCAATAAATAAATATTTACCTTCCTTAATTAATTTTACCTTATTTACTTGAGTAGTGTTGGTTAACACTACTTACTACTACTACTACAAGTACTTGGGAAAACAGTTTACCTATCATGCAGGTGACCCGACTTACCGATTGTGTCACGTATTATTTTTCTGGAACATATGGTACAAGTACTGATGTAGTTGACACATTTCACATTATTATTATTATTAATTAAAGGCTGGTAAACGTTGTTAATTTAGCACCGTATGTATGTGTGTTAGGTTATTGTCTCATAGTGAACGGGGCAGCTAAGAAGCGAAGTAGACAACGCTAAGGTTCAAATCACATTGCCACGGAACGATTTGCAAGTGAATTTTTGTAACGAAACTATACATAACATAATTAACTTCAGGTCAATCATAGATTTTAAGGCTTTTGTTTACTGTGAAGATGAATTTAAACTATCCAGTGCGTGGAATGTAGTATTTAATGCTTACAATAATACTTCTACTTCAGTTTCGCGTGTGGATACAGTGAATGTGGTTTGTCGGAAAAAAGTGAGTGACAATGGTAACGCCACATGCAATCGTGTTGAAGCTAGTTGTCGACAACGAATCAGGGTAGTTCTTATAATCATATAGCTCAATTTGTGTAACGTACAAACTATAGATACAATAAGGTAGCTACGGAAATTCTCGTGACTGCGTGAAAATTCTCCAATAGACGCGCGACCTGTATTTTGGCTCTCATCTAGTTTGTATCTTACATCATTGACGATAAAGTTCATTATGCCATGGTTACAAACACTCCCCTCCATTCCGGCCTAAATAGGAATTGGAGGAATACTATACGAGTGTATTCGTTTAGTTGAGCATTACGGTAAGATGTAATTACAATCTGAACATCAGTGGCGAGACGTCCATACAATTCGCCTCATATCGGCTTGTCGAAAATGTTGTACGCATTACCGAACTGCGCACATACATCATCAGTTATCGTTATAACCAACTTAATATTCAAAATTACTAAATATTCAATGATACATAGGTATTAACCTGTCTTTGATGATACAAAGTACTATAGCTTCCCGGTAGGTCTTAACAGCGCCCTTTCCAACTAAAGTCGGTATCAACTCGGGTTATTCTTTCAAACATACCTACGCACTCAATTCAGAATTCACGTATGCATTCGCAAAAATCAAAATGTTCACCGATAACCCGATAAACTTCGAGTTAGCGTTAGAGTCGAATAGCGTTCGCTTAAGTTTAAATCTTACAGTTACGGATTTTGTTAAAGTCCGGACTTACTAACCAAAATTTTCACGCTTCGCAACTACAGCACATACTCCACGAAATAGGGATCACCCTTTGTTTTATTAGGATTGAAATGTCTTCTGGGTGATGATGATGACTATTCTGTTCTGGGCGGCAGTTCTGTCGAAGACACAGTGGACTCCAGCTCAGTTCGTGCAAACACGCCATCGAACTTCAGCGACCAGATCTCCGGCTTCGTTCTCAACAGGACTTCATCCTTCCGCAGGAAGGACGGAAAGATATGAAGTTGTTAGAATAATGACTGTTAAGTGTAGCTGGTGGGCCCGTGTTTTCTCGACCCGATTTTGTTTTATGCAAATTAATAACATTTCGAATAGAAACGAGACGGGTGAATCGGACACAAATGGAAGAAAGCCAGCACAGACCCGATAAAATGGCTCTATTTGGGCAAATATTTTATTTCAAGTATTTTAATTTAGATTGACTTAAACTATATTTGTTATAGTTTACTATTCACTATAGTATTTGTTAGTTGTGTTTCTAAAATTCATTTTAAATAGAAAGAGGTAGCTCCGATTCGGAGTAAGTGCCTACCTCTTGTTAAAAGACAGAAGTTCCTATATGTATGCATTTTAATATTAGAAATTTGCTTAGAAATATATTTTGGCATTGATTCCTATTTTTTATATATTTTCCATATCAGCCCATAGAAGATAGGCAGTTCTTGTCCTTCAAATATAATTATAAATATAATCTTCGATGTATTACGTTCAAAGTGATAGCTGAAAGCTAGCTGTCAGTTCTTACTGTTAGGCAAAACATGCACTGAGCTGTGACATATTTGGCTTGCTGTAGCACACTCAGTTATTGTTTTACCTCTATTGGTTAGGTTGTTTGCTTTTCTTTTTGTTTCTTTCTTGGTTTTATTTTCACTGATTTTAATTTCTGTTTCGATTATGTAATTATTTAAAATGTAAACGTTTAGAATTTCTTTCTTTATTATTTTATGCAGTTGTGTATGCTTATGGTAAGTCAATAAATATTATCTATCTAGAACTATATATGTTTAACTGTGTAAGACTAACTTAGCCTAGGCTAATTTAAGACTAAATTACTGAAGCGCAAATTTAACCAAATGATGTCAACTATGTCAGTATGATATATCCGAGTTTCACTCAAGTTTTCGAGTTTTGTAATTTAATTCACTTCAGAAATATTGCCTGTTCGATAAGGATTATATATCTGTTTAAATTTAAATTGTGTAAAAATAAACATTACGTAAACATCGGTGTCAACCCAAATATTTTATTTCTATCTTTTTCCAACCTAAAATTAAACAAAAATACATAAAACTCCAGTACACCATCGTCTAGAGTACAGAGAACACAATTTTCTCAATTTTATGAATTATTATTGTCACTAAGTTAATATTTGCGTACGTCCATTGTGTCAGGTGTACAAACAATGTTCCGAATGGATGTACATAGTGTCATGAAGAGAACTGGGGTAAGAAATCACACACATACTTATGTAAACCATTCATGTATGTATTAATCGCATTCATAAAAGGAAGAATTTTGTAGGTAGAATAAATTTTGTAAAGGAACCGAAAGCTTGCATTTAGCTTGGGTTAATTCCGTCTATATTATTAGAATGTTTGTCCTGCTAAAACGTGTGGTTAAGGTAATTTACAATCTGAGCCTCAGAGTGCCTTTGATAGAAAAGTTCAAAGAAATTAACTTTGTTACATTAGCGGTACAGTACATTTATGAAAATGTAATTTATGTTAAGAATAATTTGGTTTTTTTAACAAAATTAGTGGTTATCACTAGTATCAGGTTTCTTACTACGGTATGACTTCTTTTTATTTTCCCGATATTTCGGAACGGTTAAATAAAAAGAAGTCATACCGTGGTAAGAAACCTGATACTAGTGATAATCATTTAGTGAATAACCACGAAAGTCTTAAAATCTATAAAATTTGTGGTATACGTAACACTAATATGATGCTCTAAAATGAATAGTTCTGTTCTTGACAGTCGTTTTCATCAAGTTAGAGATTATTTTAAGGAGCGATGTATATATAGGCTTCTATTATAAGATTCCAGTGGATTTTAAAAATATGCCATTTGCGTGGTTTAAAAGTATGGTGAAAGAAAAACTTTAAACAAATTTAAAAAAATCATTATACAGCTTCCGCGTACCTACTTGGATAACAAAAATCCATGGTAGTGAGCAATGAATGAGTGAGAAATGAAGAATAAATGGGGAATTTGCTTATGAATGAGAAGTAGTCAATGGGACAATTTGATCTACAATTTGTTCTTTGAAGTAAAATTATGTCGAAGTTTGGGTTTCTTTATAGTGCCAAGTGGCGGAACGAACAAGTCGCGCACCTGGTGGTAAGCGACAAGCCTATTCACAACAACTGCAGTGCCACTCAGAGCTTTAAATCGCAAAATTTGAGAGACTCTACCACTGCACACGTCACCCTGACATCCTGGTGATGTCAGGGACTGGTTACCCTTCAAAACAGGAACGCAGTAATGCTCATATTATTGCGGCAGAAATTGATAAGGTGGCAGCACTTCCCTGGACAAACTCTTTCACAAAGAACTTTACTGCTTCTAAATAAATATGTCGGAGCCAGTTGTTGCTTCAAACGTGGTGTAATAAAGTTGAATTGTTTACGTGATTTGCTTCGCAAAAAGACAAATCTTAACAATGCGGAACGCAGTAATGCTGACATAACTACTCGGCAACAGAATATACACCCAGCATATACACACAAATACCTCGACAACGAATCCGTGCAAAAATGATATCTGTGTTGATACTACACCTGACTTCACTACACTTTTAAGTATTAATAATTGTATTGAAAAAAAAAGAAAATATTGTATTATAGGCCAAGTAAAAAACTTTTAAGTTGGCTACTGAACCTTATAGGAGGCTCAGGATCCTATAAGGAGTGCTACTGTGGCCAAATTTGAGTTAAAGCTAGTTTTTAATTCGGCTCACACAAGGCGTACTAATGGAACCTACATAATGTTGTGTTGGGGCTTCTACAAGGCGCGTTTCTTTTGAGCGAAGTGCATTCAATGCCTAACAGTGTAATCTTCGATTTAAAGGATCATCGCTAAGCTGTCACTGGATAAGTAGCTTGTCTTGCCATTGTTTACAATTGCATTTGTATTAACATGGATTTAAATTTTGTGTACGTAGTAAATAGATCCATGATGCATACCAAATATAAACAATATAAAAAGTAGGGTATGTGTAAGGAGTTCATCGCCAGTCACATGATGTCTCATAGTGACGCTTGGTCACTTCCCGCCTAACAGCGTCTGTGTTTGTATAGAATTTTAGTGAACGGTATTTGTGGTCACCGTCTGTACTGCAAAATCTTAGTGCGCAGTTTCCAATGTCACAACAATTCTGAATATAATGATTATTATGACAAAAATCATTCTTATCAATAAACTGATGTTACTGATATCACGACATATTTGGTAACGGTAGAAAATGGTGCTTAGACAATTTTGCTCATTGTTCAGATCAAAATAGCTTATTTCTGTCATCCACTGAGATACAAATCCCAGAATACCTTGTATAATGAAAACCAGAGACAAACAAATCGACTTCGGAGGCGTCATATGGACCAAAATGATCAAGGAATGTTTGTTTTCAGTCATAATCTGGAGTGTATGTCCACTGGTCCACAAAATTCAACTTTTGTTCTGATCCTCTTCTTATCAGGTATCTTCGTTTTCCTATCACGCCTCGTTCGCTATCTTCAAGTTGTTATCTTCAAGATAGTGCTCACTGGGACACCTACCTAGAAACACGTTTGTTGCAAAGTCAATAATTTTCATAATGTCAAGTTACCTTGAGTAGTTGGAATGCTCTATGTGCATTAGATAGTTTACCACAATGGATATTTTTTTCCTTTAAGTTTGTGCGATTAAGAACTATATTATGTACCGACATGTTTATATACATCAAAGTGCGTCGTATAAATAATGTAACTCAACTGTGCAAGTCTTAAAAAGGGTAATGTACATAGAATTATAATATCATAGTTTAGCAGCAAATAAATTCTGCTGTTTTCAAATAAGTGAGGATTGAAATGTGAAAACGGATGAGATTAAAAATGTTAAACTACCAAGACTGAAGAACTACATTCTGGCTTGTTAATGAAAATAACAAGTTTTTTCAATCTGGGCAATACCACGCTAAAATTTCTGACATTCCAAATTATAAATTTCCTCCAATAACAATTTCGTATATATTCGAATACTTCATTCTTCTAATAACACTAGATACTGAAAAAACTTTAAAAATCCCAAAATGGAACCCAATCTTGAACATAGAAGCAGTCCGAAACCCCGTCCCCTAGAAAGGTCTTTGAGCTACTCCGAAGCCATTGGCAACGATTCCCGTCGCTCATCCATCCAGATACCTTCAATCATGAATACAGACGTTTACACCAACGAAGAACTAAAGAAACAGTATCGTATCTCTCAGACTTACGTTGAAGGGAAGGAGATATCTTTTCCAGCAGCCAGTACTAACGTTGATACTATAGATTTAAAAGATATACCTTCAAGTGGAGATGGCTTAGCGACAGATACGTCTCAGTATTCCAGTGAAGATGAGGCCACAGACCAAGGGTTGACAATGTCGATTGACATAGAGTGCACTAGCTATCCTAGTAGCCCAAGAACAGATGTAAAACCGTTTTCTGAAACATCAACGGCTCTGGTTTGTTCAAGTATTCCTACAGATATTTATGATAGGATTGACGCAGCAGACAGTTTGTATGATGAGAGAGATGGGGGACCTTCAGCTCATGGCTATTCCACGCCTTACAGCCGAAGAAAGAAGAAAGGTGGTAGACATCGGTAAGTTGATCTTATAGTTCAAGTAAATAGTTCACATAAACTTCCCTTATTCTAAATAAGGGAACTAAACTCAATATAATTTCATTTAGAAACGCTAAACATTTATTACTTTACCAATAGAGGATTTCAGAAACGATTATTACGTGAAGAGCCGACTAGTGAAAAGAAATTAAGGCATAGACTAGTCTGACTTTTGGTCTAGAAAGACTCCAGCGCATTACAGACGGACTTCAATTATTGGCTATAAAACACTAGCAGTAACTTTTATTCTTACCTATTTTTGAATGACAAATTGTCATTCAAAAATAGGTATCATTCAAATTCAAAAACAAAATTAATCTTCCTGAATCATTGACTCCAAATATTCTGATCGATAACGAAATATCAATGTGCACGCATGTATTTGGATAAGATAGGCGTTAATTTCAAGGAAACCCACATGTTTGGCTAAGTTTTACAAGTTTTCTTTGTTAAAAGTGATGACTTCATGATTTCCCAAATCAGCATTGACCACGTTGTGTGATTCGGAGTAGCAAGTTGAAGGTTGTCGTTTCTACCTACCCCAATGGGAAAAAGGCATTAAGTATATGTATACAGTTAATATTAAAGTAGACTTTATAAAAATGTTTTCAGGCAAAGGCACGGCCGTAAAGTGCGCTCTCGACGAGTGGTGCAGAAAGGCGGAGAGGAGAACGTGCCCATCCGTAGTAACATCCCCGCTAAATCTCTTAAGTATATGAGAGATTATGTCAATACTGTGGTTAGTAATAGCGTTTAGGTTAGTAGTAGCGTGTTAAGTTGGACACGTGAGCTTTAAATCCAACTTGCGACAAGAACAGTCTAAAGCCAAAGTTTAAAGGTTGATGCGCTTTTGTTTGTAGCTAATACCCGCTTTTTGAGCACACAGCGTAGGAATTACTAAAGTCTGCTGTCTTGTCTATTACAGTCTTGTAGGTTAATTATTTTTCTTTTATTCCAGATAAACAGCAAATGGCGTTTCTTAATCCTCCTCATCCTGATCTCGCATTTTACTTTTTGGCTTCTATTCGCCACGATCTGGTACGTTGTAGCGCAGTCGTATGCAGATGACATTGGCGATGGAAGACAGCACTGTGTTAATGGAACGTCGAGCTTCGCTGGACTCCTAATGATGTCCGTTGAAACACAGGTATGCGTCACTCATATTACTGTACCATTGTTTCCATTAGTTGGGACTAAAGGGTTCTTTGCAAAAAACCCTGAAGAAAATAATCAATATATGTACGTCAGATGAAAGTTGTTAACGAAATTGTTGATAAGTAGTTTTGAAATATTGTCTTTATTATCGTTGACCACACATTCGTGCGAAGCGCTGTGTTTGCTCCTTCTCAATGTGTACATACAGCAAAAGAACTGAATTACGCTCCGGGTATTTGTGTTTGCCGAAAGCTACAATTTGGTGCTATTTTAAGTATTTTTCAGACAAACATGTGCCATCGTCTGTCACATCATCGCTTAACATCAGTTGAGAGTGTGTCCAAGCGTGCGTCTGTTTTTCGTTAATTAAAGAATATTTCTACCAAATTAGTCTGAAAGTTGTCTGATCTGATATATTGTTTCGGCTCTGTTATGTACTGTACTTATGTAATGTACTTCCTCCTGCCTGCCTGCTGCTGTTGAACTGCCTCCGTGGCCGAACGGTTACCATGCCGGACTGCCACGCAGAGGTCCCAGGTTCGAGTCCCGGGCCGGGAGAATTATTTGTATGGCCTACATTTATTTCTCTCGTGAGTTTGGGTATAATTTGTGGTTGTTTATATGTGTGTCCATGGCACCCGCGACACAGGATTCCCCCAGTGCGGGGCTATGTTGGGTGTGTGCATTATTATTATTACTTATTCTTTTTTAAGAGCCAAGCTCTCGTTGGTGAAGCAATCGCCAACCATCTCTGTTCAGCATATTAACTTTGACTTGCTCGTAATCGTGTCGATGGCATGCACTATAATACTTGCCATCGTGGTAAAATAATTTGCCAATCTCTACCCGTACTCTACCGTGTTTACAAGGACATGGATGTTCTTAGTGTTCGAGGGATTTTTATTTTGCGCGTTGTTACAAAGTTGCACGCGGAGGTGTTAAGATTTCCTGAATATGCCGCAATGCTGCAAAGATGTAGGTTTAGAATCCCTGTACCCTTAACGAAATCGGCTTTTGCCCAGAAATTTAGCTCATTTCTCCATCCTTTTATTTACAACAAAATAAGTATCGAATTTCCTTTGAAAAATTACTCAGTCAGGGAACTAAACTTAAAAGTGAAAAATTGGCTCAAATCACTTTGCTATGAGGATGTTGAACAAATTCTGAAAGTAGACAAATAGACAAACACACACATACACACACACTCACTCACTCACTCACTCTCTCTCTCTCTCACACACACACACAAACACGCACACACACATACACACACGCGCACGACCACTCGCTCAGTCACATGCACGCACAAGTAATTTAATTGCTTTGTAATTAAGATTATTTAATTTTCCATTGTTTAATAAGTAATTCATTGGTTTTTAGAAATTTTCTCGTCTCTACTAACTTTTCGCATATAATATATATTGTATACTTCGTTTCAGTCCAATTTGAACAAAGTGTAAACTAACAAATCACCGACCATAGAGGGTCTAGTGATGGCCACTTGTAATGCCAACTACATATCGATTAATTAACTGAATGAATGGATTTGTTAAATTGAGTCTTCTAGCCATATCTAAGATTTCCGAAATCCTAATTTATTATTAATAAGCAACTATAGACAGGTCATGGATGTATAGATGAAAATAACATCACTTTTGGACTACCATTTCTCACATACAATTTTGCGATGCTGTTCGGATGAATGTTGTTGGAGACAATGGTGAGATATCAAGTCGATGTCTTCGAAATATACGTGAATGTGTTGCTTGTTCGATATATTGAGTCATCAAACACTCTTGTTTGCTGTTTGTTCGGAATGGATTGGAACAGACTTTACATTCTTTCCAGAATTGGTTACCTACGAGACAGGCTTTGCCTAGTGTAGGAGCCAGTGTAACCGGTTTAGATAAAGTTTAAAAGTACATGTCTTAAACATACGTATTCCATAAGGTGTAATATGTTCCTGTTCCTGTTATTGGTAACTGAACTGTATTTATTTTTATGTACAAATAAATAAATTACTTACTTACTTACTTACTTACTTACTCGCTGATTGTTTCCCAAAGTGCGCCATGGTACGTTGTGTGGGAAGGCTCCTTTCGTGCACCTACTTGATTTCTTGACATGACAGGAACCTTTTCGTCGTATCGGTCATCTTCCACCTCTCTTTCCCCCGTTTTTCCCTTCTAAAGAAATTGTCGTGACTGTCCTTGAATCTTTTTCATAAAATACTCAGGAAATGTATTCTCTACTGATTTGTCTAATACTACTTCCAGATGACAATCGGCTACGGCATCAGATTTCCCAACGAAGAATGTCCCGAGGCAATAGTTGTAATGGTTATAGAAGTAAGTTATATCACATAAAATATTTCTGTATCTATATTTTTAAGTATTTCATTGTATTATAAATACTTTGTTTTCAGATCGTAGCAGGTACAGCAATGTCAGGCGGACTGTCCAGTTTGCTGTTCACCAAACTCATTAGACCAAACAAACAAGTGTCTTCAGTAGGATTCAGCAAGAAAGCTACTGTAAGTAATTCTGTTATTTAAGGCTCTCATGTGGTATACAGTGGCCTAGATCAAGATTTACATCAACATGATCATCTTAGGGCGTTGCAATTAACTACACAACGATCCATGTGACATGTAAAATTAGTTAAAAATCATCCCAATTAAATTAACTTAAAATGCTTTGTGATCAGTTCATTCGTTTGGGCATTACGATGCTAGACATACAGGCACAACCTTTTTGTAACAAGAAACTGCAATAAATTTAAGAGCAGTGGCAGCCCAAAGGGAGAGCGCCTGCGTCTCTATTAAAGAATAGACAGTTTAAATTCCTATGCCATTCCTATATACCAATGAATTTCATTTCTAAGTTACGTAGGTACATTTGTAAATGGTTGGTAGCAATACAACCTCAAATTGCTTTGGTTAATTCCGCAGAACAGAGAATGTGTTGAATTAATCACTTTGGAGAATATATATGAAAATTGAGGATATTATACACTGATTAGTACACGGTGTGAAAAGACGATTCTTAAAAATTTTCATGATAGAAAAAAAAACACAAACTTACCTCGAAATTTTACAAAAAAACCGCTGCATTCAATAGGTACTTTACATATACCAATGATTTTTTAACATCAACTGAACTAAATAGAACACGTATACTATACGATACACAATTTTCAAATGGCTTAATTTCGTTTATAAAAAAATAAATTCCGAAATAAAGCCAGTGTCTCTGTCGCTCGATCCGCGCAATAAAACTGATTTAGTGCGGGAAAACTTGAATTTGAACTGAGATTTGTTTCGACTCTAGCGTCAAAATCGGCCAAGCCTGGGCAACATACGTGCTATGAGTGTGTACAATTTGAAGTATATTTCAATGAAATGAAAAACACTTATTTGAATAAATACTAGTCCGTCCTCATATGAAATAACTCCACGAACGCATAAAAAAATTTCATTGACTCGGGGGGACTTGAATCCACGACGGGTTCAAGTGCTTCGAGGGTTCGTGGGTTCAAATCCCATAGGGTCCATGAAATTTTTGTACGTGTTTTGTATTAATCATAATTACAAAATAAATTAGATCGTAATAGAAACACGTATAAAAATACTTATTTGTATTAATTACAACTAATTCAAATACTGTCCAGCTTTGCAACGGCAACATCTCTACTTCACTTTGCTGTCTAATGTTCCAGGTGTGTCTCCGAGACGGCGAGCTGGTCCTGCAATTCAGAGTTTGGGATTTACTCCATGTTCATTTTGTGAGCAGTACTATCACAGCTTACATATTAAAACCTATTCGGTAAATATATTTAAATAAATATACTATAAAACAGATTTTTTTTGATACCAAATAACGGGACGAACAAGTCGTGCGCCTGGTAGTAAGCGACACGCCTGTATAGCGTTAAATTCGCAAAGATCTGAGGCGCACTGCCACTGTGCCTGTCACTCTGAGACATAAGTTGCCTTTAATTTCACCAGCACCCTTACCCTTCAAAACCGGAACGCAGTAATGCTTATATTACTGCTTGGCGACAGAAATAGGTAAGGTGGCAACTCCTTCCTGGACGAACGAAAGTTCCCAATCCGATGGATTAACTATTCGTTGGGTTTTTTAACGTTCATCAACTCACTATGCGTCTCACTGCTAAGCATGGGTCTCGTCTGAGGCGAAGTTTAATGCAGTTTTAGAACTTTACACGTTTTCCATTACGTTTCAGGGTGATAGGCGCAGTGGCAGTGCCCCTCAGAGCTTTGCGATAGAAATCTCTGGGTCACACTGCAACTTCTATGGACAGGCGTGTAGCTTACCATCAGTCTCTCTCTATCATCGGTCACAGACACGTTCATTGCAATGTTTTTCTTCATCATCATCCAACTTGAGAGTTATACTCGTGTCGGTGAATGCATCTTCCAATCATCTTTCCTATCTAGCTCCTTGACCTCCTTATATGATACGACACCGGTCTTTTCCTTTATTTGGTCTATGTAGCTCCGCCTAGGTCGACCTCTTCCCCTCTTCCTTTAGATTTACCCCTCTATAATCAGTAAAACAAAATCTTCATCAGTAAAGCAAAAACATTTATTATATTTCAGTACACTAGAAGGCGAGATGGTTCAGAACTACATCCACCAGCTGAAGCTGAAGCAAGCTAACGCCTTTCTGCTGTGGCCTATCACAGTTGTCCACGTTATCGACGCCGAGAGCCCGCTGTACGATTTCTCGGCACAGGACATGATGGACTACAGGTAAAATTCGATACAACCTGGTACTGATCTACGACAGCTACAAGGCTGACACTTTAATGACTGCTCAATTTATGTGCAGACAGCGGCATATCGAGCTATACATTGACGGATCTTGTTAAAACTTATATCAAATGTATTCTAATTGAAAAGTCATGTTACAAAATTGAAGACTACGCGTTAGATAAAGATGTATGGAAAGACGACATGAAGACTCATGTCGTCTTTCCATACATCTTTATTAATCTAGACAGATTCCACACAATTATGGTTCAAAGTGTATTCCATAGCATAACGATTCATGTGGGTGGTAAATATCTAATAATCGGCTTGAAACCTTAGAACTAGAATGATAATGTGTGTTAGTTCTTCTTCTTTTTATGAACATGGCAGGCTGTGGCAGAATATCAGCGGCGGGCGTTGTGAAACACTCCGCCACGTGTGTGTGTGAGCTACAGACCTTTTTATCTCACACCACTATTGTTCTAAACACTGCGTGGAGCTTTATATATTATTAATTTTTTACTTATTAATGTGTGGAGACAAATAAACGGTTTTATTATTGTATTTATTTTAAACTCTCGCCTCTCCCAAGGCCTAAAACGTTAATTTTGAATTTTTAAATGGGAGAGGCGGTATTTTCCGGCAATGGCACAGTCGGCCGGGGTCAGGGACTCAGGGCCAAGAATCAGCGAACAATACGTGCCGTATCGAGCAGGACCGCCTTCTGCATTTGTGCTGGAAGCGACACGCCACAGAAATCCAACCGCCTCAAGCTGTTAGAAAGGCTGACTGGAATTAACCCATTTGCGGACAAAACAATTGGGATTATTTCAGTGGAGGCCACATCCCACATGTCGGTGATCTCGTGCGCCAGGTCGAGATACTTCCGGCGTTTCTCGGTTTCAGCTTTCACGAGACCCTCGACATGCGGGATGGTGACGTTTATTATTGTTATTGTTATTATTATTATTATTATTTAAGTTTATACTTGAAACGAGCAATTCCTAGAGTTTCTTGCTCGTTCTTTTCAGGGAAGTCAGCACAGCGAACGAACAGTAGCTTAACAAAATGACGTATTCAATTGTAAAAAGTTTACTTATGGAATAATAGTATATTTTTTATCGAGAGACTAAAATGTAAACCCGAGGTGGTTAGCCACCCGAGCTTTAGCAAGGGTGTCTTTACTCCGAGGGTTTATATTGGATTTTAGTTTGGAGGTGAAAACTTTACTTTCCATTTCGATTGCGAGAAAAAAGTAATTTATTTATTATAATCGTTTACGCTCTACAACAAAATCAGGAACCAAAAGTCTGAAATATTCGTTGTGTTTTTCTTCCAACCAGACAGATATAACAAACGCAACAAAATGCCACGATTAGCTGTTTCTGGCAAGCATCTTTCGAACGATTTAAGTGCTTCGTCACGTCTGGGACGAGGAGGGATTAAATGATGCACTTTACTCACGCTACGCAAGGCTATATTGACGTATCTTTAGAGCATGAGAAGTGAAAATGATTATTTAACTTTGATAATAGCTTTACGTGCTATTGTCATATAGTATAATCTGTCCTCCTTGTCATAACTATCGCATTAGCATTTCGGTGATTTTCGACATATTTTTTTATTTATTTGCAATTCAGACAACTTTATACGAATATATATATATATATAAATATATATTATAATATAATATTATATATCGACTCATCCGTAGAACAAAGGTCTATGTGTAAGATTACTTGTTCTCAGGATATAGGACATTTCATTAATTCTTCTTCGCTGTGGATGTCAGATCGACCTTTGTTCGATTTTATATTTCCGAAACGAAGTAAGATATATAAATTCTCAAAATACCTTTACATAGGCCTTAGTTTGAATAACGAAATTGTTCTCGTAACGTACTTATTCTCTTTTCGCTATATAATCACATCGGACTCTGTTCTTCGGATGAGTCGATGTATTTTTGTGCCATACTGCGTTGAAATTATCTGTAAGTGCACTTAAGGTTTTTTTTGCTAATAAAAATGTCAATCACACAGGTTTTGCTTAACAATAAAACTGACACTAAATAAGACATTAAAAAACCGTATATTGATAACTAAATTTTGCTAAAATGTCAATTAAGTTACTTATGATAAGCCAGTAATGAATTTCATATCAATTGTGTAAACTTACAAACTAGATACGATATAGTAGTTAGCGGAAATTACCAACACTGCGCGTGAATTCCCCGCAAGACGTGCGACCTGTTTTTTGGCTTATACGTAATTTGTATGTTATAATTGACACCAAGTTCATTATGCTATGATTACAAAAAAGTGAATGAAGAAATAGATATCCCACAGATGGCGCTATGGCAAAGAAAGTCGTTAAAAAACCAAAACAAACACCTGCAACAAGCACATAGAAAAATTCATAGCGTTGACATAGAGTCTGGCACGATTTGCTAGAAGACGTTGAATCGAATCTAGCCGGATCGAAATAATTGTTTTAACTGTTCGATTTTTGTATTAATTAATTATAACGGACTAGTGGAATAATTTCTCAAAAAAATAATTGAATATCATGATGGTGAAACATCCTGGTATTCAATAAACTTAATTATAAAGAACTCGCTAAAGTCAAGTTTCAATGTATAAAAGTTGCCATAAGTTCGTGTAAGAGTGTCATAAAACTGAAAAATTGCTTTACTTTGTAGGTCACGAAAGTTCTCTTTAGAAGTTCTTTGCCTTGTCTTCGGGTAAAGGCAATAAAACGCCATTTTAACTTGGTCTATCCATTATTAGACGAAATATAATACTTTCAAAATTCTGATTTTAATTTTCACCTTTGTTGTTATTGTTGTAGGTTTGAAATCGTAGTTACCCTAAATGGATCTTCGAAGAACATGGGCACCGTGACTCAGAGCAGAACCTCGTATCTTTCAAAGGAGATCATCTGGGGATACCGCTTCAAAAATGTTTTACGGTCAGTACTGTCATTAATTTATATTTTCTTACAATCTCTGCATCTGTAATCTGTAAGTACCTATTGAACGTTTTGTTTAAATTATACTTTTGTAATTATTAGTTTGCTGGTACACATTAAGAATCTGTACTAACTCAAACGGCTTTGGTTGATACCGCATAACAGTGAAAGTGTTGAACCAATCACTTTGGAAAAGATATATAGTAAAAGTGAGGGTATACACTGGTTAGTATAAAGTGTCAAAACACGATTTCTAAAAGTTTTCACGATGGAAAAAATACTTTACATATACCAATGGTTTTTTTTTATATCAACTGAACTAAATAGACCACGTATATTATAAGATATACATTTTTCAAACGACTTCCATTTCATTTGTAATAAAAAATGAATTCTGAAATAAAGCCAGTGTCGATGGCTCGATGCCGCTCGATCTAAGCAAAGTGTACCTTATTAGTACGGGAAAATTTTTAATTCGAGCTGAGGTACTATCGACTCTTAATGGATGGCCATTCCCAAGATGTACCAGCAACAAATCAATATAAATCTAGGAAATGAAACTATTTTTCCGGATTTAAATCGCGTATATTTTGTTTTTTCAAACAAACCGACGTTTCGGGCCCTTTACAGGTCTCAAAGTCACGATTGACTGAGGTGGTACAGTCTTCAAGCAGTTATGTCTAATATTGATGCAAACCACCCTATTTTTTCACTATGTTACAATAGTTATTAATTAAATACCTTATTTTTAATTTTACGCTACATTAATTTTAACAAATTATTTTATTCAATGAATTTTTTGAACTACACTGACATAACTGGTTGAAGACTGCACCACCTCAGTCAACCGTGACCATGGGACCTGTAAAGGGCCCGAAATGTCGGTTTGTTTGAAAAAACAAATATACGCGATTTAAATCCGGAGAAATAGTTTCATTTCCTATGTGTAACAATCGCGAAAACCTAAGAACTCGAAATATAAATCTAGTTACTATAATCTCTTACTAATTTGACTTCGGTCTCCTCGACAGCTATTCCAAAAAAAAAGAGAGCTACGTCATCAACACAGAAAGGCTGAACAGCGTAGAACAGGTTGAAACTCCACTGTGCAGTGCAAGTCGACTCAAAGAATTCGAAGATGACATTAAATGTTCTAGAAACATCCTTTCGTCACCCAACTTATCCATGACCAACGTATCGTACAGCCAGGAGGATTCCTCGACATTGACCAACGTTGGGGGGTCTGTGGCAAGTTCGGCCAGCCTGAATAGGACAGGAGGAACTCAAAGAAGCTTTGGATGGAAGTTTAGAAAGTTCCAACCGGAGAAATATGTTGGCCAGATCACTGAGTAAAATTTGGTTTCACATTCTAACTTTTGAAGCCTGACATAGACTTTAACAGTCATTGCAATGGCGTTAGGGTCCAAATTCTTCAGCATTCTGAGGGATAATTCAAAAGCAGAAATGGTGATTAAATCGATTTAACTGACGTGTAGATAATTTATGTGTTATTCAATATTTGAAAACGAGGGTAATTAAGTTCATGAAAAATACTATAAGATATTTTTTTATTTCTTATTTTACATATATTAACTATACATATTTAATGATGTAAGTATAGAGAACTAATGTGAATAAGAAAAATATTATTTTATTGTAACAACTAACATTTTTAACAATATTAAATAATTTATATTTAGCTAGACATAAATAAAATATAATGCAGCCAGTTTTATTTCACATGAAAAATCACATAAACAACAAACAATCTGTAGATGAGAGGTAAAGAAAACCTTGAGTGCCAAATAGTAATTTAACTATAGAGCGTGTTAAAGAGAATGGGGCTCTTAATTAGGTTTTTAAAATCAATGTTAAAGTAAAATGAAAAACTGACGACTATAGAACTTAACGACTTTTACCATTGCGTGATTTTTAGCATACATTTTGTAGAACTCCTTGTACCTTCTAAAATTTAAGCTCATTAATCTGTACTATACATGTGAATTGCAATAAACGAATATGAATATGAAAGAGTTCGTCCAGGGAAATATTGCTACCCTACCTATTTCTGCCCCCAAGCAGTAACGTGAGCATTAATGCATTCCGGATTTGAAGTGTAAGGGTGCTGGTAAAATTACAGGCACACGAGACTTCTTAACTGTTACCCATCAGTAGATCGAAATGACATTTTCCAGAAATAACGTTTGGTCGAAATTTCATAACCTCGAAAGTTATTTTGAGAGGAAAATGTTTTTTCTTTTAAACCTAACTTAATCTAACCTAACCGAACCTAATCGTATCTTTGCGATAAACATTCAACATATCCTGAAAGAATAACTGTTTCGTTATAAATCGGGAAAAAAAAATTTCGAGTTTGTGACAGGTTACCCTTTCAACTCATGTCTCAGGGTGATAGACGCATTGGCAGTGCCCTTTGAGCGGCCCTGCTACTGTTATGGACAGGTGTGACGCTTATCACCAGGCGAACGACTTGTTCGTCCCCTCACTTGGTGTCATAAACAAAATTGTAAAGCAATGTTTGTAAAAATATCTAAAGTCCAAAATATGGACTTATTTCTGTTTCTAACGCACACATTCACAGCCTGCACTAGGAAACTCTATATTGCGGATGCCATGGACATACATCTAGACAAATTACAACCTCACAAGAGAAATAAATGTAGGCCGGTATAATTACATTTAATCGAAAATGTTATTTATTTCCAGTACTTCCATGAGTTACCAAAATGGTCTCCACTCAGCTTTTTGTAACGAGACGTATGAAAACTCCTAGTGACGTGTGAAAACCACGTTAGACTGGTACAGTGAAGCCAAACAAGGGTGATAATGCTGCGTCCAAATAATATATTAAAAAAATAAAGATTTTTTTCTTTACGTAGGCAAGCTTGTTCTTTAGGGAAAGTGGCTACCAGGCTTCTTAAAAAACCTTCTTAGTGAAGATTTTTCTGTGTGGCCCCGGGCGAAAGGTTTCTATCGCAAAAGCACAAAGTTATAATTTGGTTTTAAAATAATTTATTTGTAGTTGGACAAGCTAGCCTGAAACGTTGGAACAGAATCGCATTAAGAACGAAGAAGAAGTTCTTCGTTCTTAAAGAGGGTTACAACAAAAGGATATGAACCTACCCACGTCTGGGTGGCGGGTTGTTGCAAAAATAAATATTCTGGCAAATGCAAAGGATGCGTCGATTCGACAAGTCTGCAAGCATAAACAATGTTATAATAAACAATTGATCACAACCGCGCTGTGAGGATTCTTGTACTGTGAAAACACAATGACACAGATTAAATAACAGTAAGCAGTTAGACAAATTTTCTTCCAAGTGTGGTGGTTGGTTGGTAGCTCAGTATTGGTCCCATTTAAATTTGAAGAAAATATCTCACCTCTAAGGGTAGCAAACTAGGGGATGAATCCGGTTTCGCACACTTTCCGGTAACCGATTTCAATAAAACTTGGCAAATAGATGTACTTCCAGGAACGTTTGAGGTCGTTTTTTTTAATAAAAAAGTTATAATTATTTAAGAGATATGCAACTTTTATCACTATGCTTTTCTATAGATAAATATAGTAACTGAAAAGATTTCATTCAAAGATAAACAACTGCTCAAGTTTGAGCCCGATTAAAATTCGCATTTTCTTATTATAAAAATGTTTATGAATGATCCGCGCTTCGACCGGTCGGTAACCTCAGCACATGTGGTTTGAACAAATGTTTTGACTGACACAAATAAATACAACAAAAAAACACTGAATGTAAAAGCCAACACAGGTTTGATTTATTTATTTATTTCTTACAAGAAAACGTAACACAATTACTCGCCAAACTGCAAAAGCGAGGTTACACTCTCAATCACAAAACTATAGTATACATAGTACTTACTAGTAGACTTAATTTATTCTTTTCTTCAAAGTGAATTTACATAACAATTCTCCGCCTCTCAAAAATTCTAATTTGTTACATGTAATTGGCAAGACATGTCAGTTTGTTCTTTTACCATAATAGTTGTTTACTTTTGGACGTACATATTTATTTTCACGAGCTCGGCTAGAATTATACTTGTTCGTTGCGTTACTTTTAAGTAAGTAATGTTCAGTTATATAATACTTTTCCATAGCGTCTAAATATTGGAATTTTGTTTGTACAGGAAATTTTTTATAGTAGGTAGGTAAATAGTTTATCATAATATCCCTTACAACTATATATTTCTATTTTACGAGTTACTAAATACTCGTATACAGGGCAGGACAGTACGTACCTTAAAAAGCGTTAATACGTAGGTCTTCCTTTTATTTAAGATGCTACGTTATTTAGAAGAAAACAATCCTTATGATTGAGGCTTTCGATCAGTATAGAAAAACTACAGGTGCTTCTTTTTTCACATTTGGCTTGTTCGATTACAGGCGATTATTTAAAAATCTTTGAATGCAATTCGAATTGTTTTTAAAATCAAAATAAAGTCTTTTTTCAATAAAATTTTCTATCTACGGTATTTAAGGCTCAACTCACACTGGCTCAGTGCACTACAACGCAAAGCGACGCGCGTCGTCACACGACGACGCTCGTATTAGCGCCCCCGGATCACAGTAAGGTCGGCGTCTGGCGCGTCACAAGGCGCAAATAACGCACGGCGAGACCGTTCGACTTTAACCAAGCGTCGACGATTCCATATTTGCATAACACAAATTTATACCTTAATAATGGGAAAATACAGGTGAATATGCTATAGGCGAAAAACATGACGCGTCGCGACGCTTCGACTCTGCGCCAGTGTGAGTTGAGCCGAAGGTACTTTCCCTCCGTGTAACATAGCCCTGTGACGCCTAACTGTCTGGTCAAATTTTTTTATGACTGCCCATAACAGTTGCAGTGCATTAAACCTCAAAGATCAAGGGACACTGCCACTGCGTCCGCCGTAAGACTTATATTGATAAATAAGTACCACGTAGGTACACCAGTACCTTGACCTCCAAAACTGAAACGCAGTAATGCTCACATTATTGCTTGGCGGCAGAAATAGATAAGATAGCAGTACTTCCCTGGACGAACTCATTCACAAGGAAATCTACTGCTATAAAATGTTAGGTATCTAGCAAAGATTGAAGCCTTTATTGACATTACATTTGAATGTCGACGAAAAACCATTCATTTTTCTTGCAAGTGCTTAGTTTGCAAACCAGCAAACGTGATATCAAAGCAGACGCAATGTACAAGTAAGCTATTCGCCGACGTGTGAGTTTATTAGAGTGACAAATACACCTCCTTGACAAAATGATGATTTAGAAAACATATTGTTGTGTGATGTCATGCGGTTGTTGTAAAATAAACAGACGTTAGCATTTTTTTTAAAAGAGTACCCGTTAATTGCTGTAACCGGACATCTTCCTTTCTAAATTTCATTGCGTCGTCTCCATGAAGAACAAGACGGGAAAGGCCATTCCGCCATAGTTCATTTATAAAAATGTAATTAGTGATAACCTCAAATAT